AGATTGACGGCCTGATGACTGCTTCTCCTCCGCCTCTGACTTGGAGGTTTTTTCCTTGTCAGCCATGATGAGCGGGGCACGGAGAGAGCCACAAGTGAAAGTGAGAAAAACTTTGTTGATTTGCCCGTGAGAATGTCACTCCGGTGATGCGTGATCACTCCGTGGCAATACTGGCGACGGATGAACTGCGCTGGGCGGCGAGCGTCCTTGCGCCACGATTACGATGCGTGATCACTATGTACGCACTAAATTCCGTTGCACACCATGAGAGCCAAATGTTTTGCAAAACGAATATCACACTTCACTTCACCACGCTGCATCCGGCTCGAAGGATCAAATGTTCGGGAAACTCTCTTATGCCCGACTCCGCACTGGGGACAGAGCGTACGAGAAATTCCATCTGAGTGCAGCGTGAACAATGAGAAAGTCATGCAGCGCGGATGAAGGAGTATGGTTGAACACTTTTACAAAGCTGGAGGTTTCACTTAATAATCAGAGCTGCCTACAGTATTTGCACAGTACCATGAGCAATCCTCCCAATTAGTTCCTTTCACAGAGAGCGCTGACGATCGACTCCAGAGAGTGCGTGCGTGCCAGCGACACGACCCCGACCCCCGACGCCCCCGACCCGTCCCATCCAGCGACACGTGAACGCCGGCCCGGTGGTCCCCCTGCCCCCGGCCCGCCCCTCGCACCCCATCGCACGGTCGCTTGAACTGCTCCCCTGGGCCTCACGGGCGACCGTGAGATGGCGCCAACGCTATCGATTGAGCGTGCCGACGGAATCTCAAACAATCGACAATGTATGGATAGAGTTTCGTGATCGCGATTTTGCAAAGCTATTTTTCGACAGATGCAACGATCGATGCTTTAAGTGTGAACAGTGCATTTTCGCATACGAACATGACGAAAAAGTAGTAGAACATTATGATTTTCTGGATATGTCGCGACACTGCAGCGTGTGTGAACGAGTCACGTGCAAATGCTCCGTGGAAGAGTGTGATGTGATCTAAAGAAAAAAACATGGAAAATCACGAGCAAGTGGAACGCGAACTGCTGGAGCAGTGCAGTCAGGTCGCTACTCTGGTGGAATGTTTTGCGTGGCTGCAACGATGCGACGAGTACATCGAGCGGCTCGAAGAGCTTTGTCGTGCCAAGCGTCTGCGTCTCACCGTTGGACACAGACTATCCATGGTGGCGAGGATCGCGCGACTCGCTGGTGCAAGGACACAATTAGAGCGACGTTTCGTGCACGTTGGTGGTGAGTACGCGAGTCGCGACAAAAGATCTCTCGTCTGGCGAGAGATCGACGCCGCGTTCGAAAACCGTATATCGACGGGTGCTGTGGTCAACGTCAATTACATCGAGCCGCGGCGATTTTTGGAAGACGCGAGAGAAATAGTGCTCGAACATGTGCGAGACGCGATAGAAAGACACGGTAGTACAAAAATGAACACCGCGTTCAACGGCGAGTTTATAACAAACATCAAATGTGACATTAAGAGTGTAAACACTAAGAACAGCGAGATATATCGATACACCGATTTGCGCGAGTGGTACGAGCAGCATATCATCGAACCCACGTTGACATCACTCGAAGAGTTCCAAGAACGCGACAGCGAGTGGACATTGTCGCGAATCTTCAATTTGGTAATGAATGTGAACAAACTAAATCCCATGCACGCGGGATGTTACTTTGAGGTACCGCAGGAAATTATGCTTAAGAGAGCGGTGATCAATGTTAGAACGATGGACAATGCGTGCTTCGCGTGGTCGGTGGTCGCCGCTCTGTACCCGGCTGAAAGAAATGCAGATCGAGAGTCATCGTATTCGCATTATACAACGGTGCTGAATTTCGCGGGTATCGAATTTCCGATAACGTTCAAAGACATTTCTAAATTCGAACGGTTGAACGCGGTGTCGATCAATGTATACGGCATTGAAAATAAACAAGTTCTTCCTCTGCGGCTCACCAGTGACAAGAAGGAAAAGCATGTCAATCTCCTGTACATGCAAGATTCACACAACGACAACATTAAACACTTTGCGTGGATCAAGAACCTGTCGCGTCTCGTGAGATCACAAATTACCAGGAACAATAACAAGAAATATTTCTGCGATCGGTACGTACACCTTAAAAATTATTATAATTTCCCATCTTATTAATAAAATATAGGTAACATCAAGAAGGACACTAAAAAGGTGAAAGGTATAAAAAATAACGTCATAGCGCAAACGATAACGTTCGACGATTACACTCGATGTTTGAACGAAGAGATCGAAATGACTCGTCGTCAATCGTGTATACGATCTAAACTGCACGAGGTATACACGATATCCGAATCGAAAATCGCTCTGAGTCCATACGATGACAAACGATACGTCGTACCGAATTCGACGGAGACGTTACCGTGGGGATATTGGCGGATACCTTTGTAATATATGTACATATCAACATTTATATTACTATTATGTTTTTACTTTTTTTATATTTTCATACAACGTATATGTATTATCTTATATCTTACTTTGTGTATGTCTTTTTTTTTTACATTTTTAAATATTCTCGTACAATCTACATACCTGTTATTAACTATTATCATTATAATTTACGCATTATGTTTTTACGCTGTATATAAGTATTACTATTATGTTTATATAGTATCATTTATTATGTATTACTGTTATTTTTCATTACATGTATCGTACATTTGTATACATATTTTGTTATATGTATACAAAAAAAATATATCAATTAAAAATTTATCAAATAACATTGTTTTTGTGTATCCATGAATTGCGATCCATCGAATCTCAGCCACTTGACGTACAATTTGTCGCCCTTCCTGCGCAACACTTTCTCCACGAGATACACGTCCGGATGAGTAGTGCGATGCAACTCGGGCTCGCAGAACGCTCTAGCGACGGATTTTCCACGATAGTCCTCGAGTAGATAAGTTACGGGATTGGTATGCTGCACCTTAACGATCGTAAACACTTCGGTGGTCCAATTTGGTGTGTAACCCTTCTCAAAAATCATCTTGTACTTGCTCACGCGTACCGAATCGCCTACTTTGAATTTTGCAAGACCCGCTATCTTTATCGCACTGTGCCCAAGAGTTTTTTGGCGATCGCAGAAGTTACATCAGAGGATCGCATGCCGATGGTGCGATGCTTGCGCGCGTTGTAATCTGACACCAGACGCTGCAGCTCGTCGACTTAATTGCCGTTGAGTGTAAACATCTTCCACATGTCGTTTTTGAGCGTGCGATTGAACCGCTCGATCACTGACGCTTTCAACGTTGAATACGTTATATATAGAATAGTGATTAACGTTGTTTTTTCAAGATATTCTGTACATCCGCATTGTAAAATTCTTTCCCCATATCCGTTTGTAAATTTTTCGGACATCTTTCGCTCTCTCGAACGATCTCAGCGATAGCGTTCGCCGTCTCGCTTCCACCCTTGCTCTTGAGCGGAACGGCCCACGCGTATTTGCTCAGCACATCGATGACGATGAGTATGTAGTGGTAGCCTCTGTTGAAACTCGAGTACGGGCGCATTTCAACGATATCAGCCTACCACAGATCGTCGTACCCCCGGACTATGAAGCGCCTTCGCGGAAAATTTCTTCTCGCCGGAGCGTGCAATTCCTCGACAAGCCGACGTTTCTCCGAGCTAATTTTTTCTCTCTTTTCATCGGATTTCTTTTTCATGATTTGACGTGTAATACACAAAGTACAAGAAATTAATGTATTTTTCTCGCTGGTGTCACTCGACTGACTCATTTTATGAATACGCGATTTAATTTATAATAAGACCGGCTTCGCAAAGTTCCTCGATGATCGACAGCATCTCGTTGTCGTGAGCGTTGTTGCCTGCTCGGTGCGAAGCGTCGAGCAATCGTAGACGATCCACCAGCTCATTGGGATCATCCCAATGCACGTAATCGATCGCGTTGTCGTTTAATGTCATTGCGTGAGGTAATCCCTTTCCAGATTTCTTCTGTTTCTTGGGTGTGACCGACATCAACGGCGCGATTACGTGTTTGTACTTGTATCCTCTGTTGCTCAATAATCGGCCCTGTGAATTGTACTTGTGTTTGTACGCGTTCGTCACCAACAGCATGCTCTTGTACTTGTGCATATCGTCTTCCGTGTAGAGGGTATCGTCGGGAATTCTCTTGAAAATCAACTCGTAAAGACCTGGTGTACCGGCGTATCGTACGCCGTCGATAATTATGTTGTCCGCGTCATCCACGTCGAAACGTTTATTGCCAAACATCAGCCCATCCTCGTAGGTAAACGCCGTACACGCGATCTATACCGCTCTCTTTATCTTGCGCTACCCTCAGGACGGCCTCGACGTACTTTTGACCCAGCGGGCTCAAACCAGCTCGTAACGCCTCTCGACCTTCCGACGTTTGCAGCTGATTTTGAACTTTCGTCGCTAGCGAATCTTCCGTCGTTTCGGAAACGTTCTCCAACGACTCTATCGTTGGTACGATTTTGGCACGCGGGGTGGAGGTTATTGGTTGTACATCATCGTGCGATCGATCATTGGATTTATGCAGAGTCGTGGAACGCTCGAACGTCTCGCTCGCTTTTTCTCTCTCCTCTTGTTCCTCTTCCTCCTTCCTCTCGCGTTTATGGGCAGACGCTGCATCTTCGTCGCGCGACTCTCTCTTTGTCGCGCGCACGTCGGAGCTGTCGACGAAAAGTCGCAGCGGCTTGATAAGAGGTTTAAAACGTCTGTTCAACGCGATGTCCTCCTCGATTCTACCGGTCTTCAGAGCGCGATGTTTCTTGCGGATCGACTCGCTCGTCTTCTCGATCGCTCTCGCGATTTTTTCACGCTCGCGCACATCTGCCATGTTCATCCGTGGCTAAGTATCGACAACGACTGGTCGCGTTACGGTATCGCGAACTCGTTAAATCCTTTTCTGTATTGTCCATTTGTGAGCGCACTGTCTTTGTCTATCACTACGAATCCATATTTTTGTTGCCAACAGGCGTGGCACAACTCGCAAAATTCGTTGTACGGCATGTCGGTATTTACATGATCGT